GGAGGAGCAGCGGGAGCTGCACGGCCACGCGAAATTGTGATCGCGATCGTGTCCTGGGGCTGGAGCGTTTGTCCAAGAGACTGAAGACCGAGCTCCCCCAGGGCTCGTGGCACTGCGAGGGTTTGCAGCTGTGGGAAGCAGAGGACAAGTCACCTGGGAAGTGACCCAGAAGTAGAGGAGGGCTTCTCCTCTGAGCATCATTCCCTGAGGAAGGCTGGACACAGCCACCTGCCTCTGTCCGGGGGTTCAGGCAGGGGCTGTACAGGAAGGTACAAAGCAATCTCTTTTTTTAATCCCTCACGGCAAATTACCCCAAACGAACAAGGGGGCACAGTCATGTACTCTCTGACTCAAGTCCTTTTAAACCCAAGCTGACATGTAACACTAAAACCCAGGTGGTCAGCCGCCCCCTGGTCGTTTGGGTCTGACGTTAGCCATGATTAATCAAGTCCTTTAAACCTAAGCTGACACCTAAAACCCAGGTGGTCAGCCGCCCCCTGGTCGTTTGGTCAGAACTATAGAGTTAGAGAAGGGGCTGGAGAGATGCTTCAAGGTCAGGGTGAAGGGGGAAATCCCTCCCCACTCCCCACTGGAACAACTTTTCCTTAAAGGCCTCTTTTTTTTTTTTTCTTTAAAGAAAGAGAAGAGCAAGGAGAGATGGGAAGAGCACCAGACTGCTGACCTGAGGGCTGGCTCTAAGTCCACATTTATCACTGGGCTGAGCTGTGTGACCCAGGACAAGCCACTTGCCTGTTCTGGGTTTTAGCTCCTCTTTCTGAGAAGAGGAGAGCAAGCCAAGCCCCTCACTCTCCAAGGTCTGTTCTGGCTCCGAGGTTCTGTGATTCTCTGACTCTCTCTTGTGGGCACTTAGGAACCTGTCTCTAGTTTCCTTTCTCTTTCAACTCCAAGCCAGCATGCCAGCTTTGAGAGGGTAAAGCAGTGGTGATAGCAATGCTAAGTTAACCTAGAATTAAGAATGCAGTTGTCAAAGAGCCACTGATGACAGATCAGTTTCTGGAACTTCTCTTCCCTGGGAGGCGTGGTGAGGGGGCCAGTGCCAGCAGAGGTCACTGGGTATAGCTGAGAGTCCGGACATGGGTGAGGAGCCCAGGACTCTGGACCAGCCCTGCATGGCTGCAGACAAGAGCCCATGCCTAGGACTTGATGCATTCAATAATGAGAATAATAACTTAGGTCCCAATAACACAAAGGTAACGGTTTGGCTCATTCCGGAAATTATCTGAATAATTCAAGTGGGAGAATCACACCTGAAAAATACCAGGAAATGGGCGGGGGGGGGGAGGGGAATTACCCTCTCACCATATAATTGGCTCCGTTTTCATTTCCTGATTAAAAGAAAACCTGCCTCAGCGAGCAATCTGTTTTCTCATCTCAAGCATCCTTCCTCCCTTTTTTCTCACCCATCTCTCCGATCTGTCCCTTTCTCTCACTTCCCTGGAGTTTCAAGTCCAGGAGACTAGAATTTCAGGATGAAGACTTGTGTGCGGAGGATGAGGATTTGGCCTCACACTCCCTCAGGAGAAAACTGAGCTCTCAAAGCTCAAGTGATCAGACCCGTTGGTGAACATCGAAGAATGTCTGGCAAGTGTCACCTTCCCTGGTATCGATTCCCAGTGTGGGCACTCAGGCCAAGTCCAAACAACTACAATTACCCTGTAAAACCAAGGCCTGGATCCTGCTCTGCCTGAATCAGAATCCTAGGGACCAGAGAGGGGTTATCCGTTCATCTTCCTGCCCCAGGCACATCAGGACTCCCTGACAGTTCAACGAAAAGCTTTTGTTTTCATGTCCAGTATTCCAGCTGTGCATTCTCTTCTTCCCTGGGTAGTGGGATGCAGTGGGAGGCCACATGGCATATGTAGAGAAGTGTGAAACTTAACTACTTTTCACAAAAGGTGATAAGAAGGCTTCTAAAGTGAACTGTGCTGTCCAGTGAGGGACTGGGTGGCAGAAGAGCCCTTTTGTTCAGAATCCTTTTGCATTTGAGAGTTGTGCTAGTTGCATGGATCGGCCAACTCTGCTCTTCCTTTCCTTGTGTATTTTGTGTTACATAAGTCTCAAATGAACCCAGGCCTGACAGATGATGGGTTTTGAAAGTTTGGGTCAATAATAACAGTGACGTAGTGGGACAGAGCCAACTTGTGATTTGAACAGGGACTATGCTCAACCTCTAAGAGCATAGTCACCTCCATTCGTTAGCATAATGACTGGCACAGCAGAGATGTGTAGTGGGAAGGTTTGGAACAAGAAAAACGGTTTAAACAGCATCTCATTTTTCAAGTGCCTGGTGCTGGGGTCTCTAAGGTAAATAAGACAAGATGCTAACCTGGTGATCATTTTTCTAGCTCCATCACTTGTTGATGTTAATAGCCTATTAATGAGTATATCAGACACAGCTTATGTCCCTCCTCACATCGGCTAGACCTTGCCTTTCTGCTGGCTCCATAGCTGCCTCCACAGCCAATTAAATCTGTGCCGTTCAGCCGCTGGGAACTGACTAGTCGCTTGCCCGGCCAAATCCTTCTTGGCCGCTGCTGCACAGCCAGGCTGGCCAGCCACATGTCTGGAGTCTCTGACTCCTCCACTACTTCTGGACTCAGAGGAAATGCCATACTGCAGGATGTGGCTTCTAGGCAGCCATCAAAGAGACTAGATGATGCACCCTAGGAAATTCCCTGTGGGGAGCATTTTGACCAATGAGAAACAAGAGATGGGAGGGAGCTGGGCAGATGCATTCTCTTTCATTCCTCCTTCCTATGGACAACCTCCCCGGATATGTCCTGCAGAGCTACTGAGACACACCTACTGAGTAACCTGCCATGGCTCTTTGCAGCTGGTCCTGAAGCAGTTACCTGCATGATAACACACCACCTTGCATTGCTTCTCATCCTAGCCTACTTCGTTTCCCCTTTCACTCTTGCAGCCTTCTCAATCAGATTTAACTTTTGCTTCAGATTTCTGTTCCCTAGGGAAACTGAGCTCAGGCCATTGGTTCCACCAGTGGTTCTAGGATGGATATGGGGAGTGCATTGCTTACGTGTCTGAAATCAATAGAGATCCCTTTGCTGGTCATAAGAGAGATGGTAATAACTCTGATGTGCAAGAGCACCACAAGAGTTGGTAGTGGCTGTCCTTGGTCCAGGGTTGATTGTTGGGGAAAACCACCCTGTAACTGAGCTCCTTACTATTAGTTAAAATGACAAAAATCCCAGAATTGCAGAGGCCAGGTGGGAGCACTAATTCATAAAAGACCAGGTGGACATATCGCAGTGAACAGCAAGGTGGAGGAGTGATCAGGGCAACTTTCTCTGCCAGGACTCATGGTGCTGACTAATAGCTCATAGAGTTCCTAGGGAAAGAGTATTCATATAATTTATTGTCCAAATTGAGCTACTTTTGAGAGCAAGAAGGGGTGCTAGTAATGATCACATGGTATACATCAAGACCATCCTAGTCTAACTGACACCTGTGTTACCCTACCGAGGCTAAAACAGATGAGCAGCCATGCAGGCTATTGCTTGATCAATATAATCAGAGAGAATAGCTGGTGGGCAGAAGACTGACTTTGGTGACCTTGGTGAAAAATCATAGACCTTCACCTAATTTCCAAGTCTAAGTCAGATCTGTCCCAAAGCTGTTGCCACTGCTGAGTGAGCTCAACTGGCCAACTGCAAAACTGATGCTGAACCCTCAATATAGCAGCATTCCTTAGGGAAGCCAGATATCCACCTAGTGGCAGGTAAATTTATATCACATCTTCTACCTTGGAGGGGGCAGAGACTTGACTTGACCTCAATCAATATATGGGTTTGTCTTCCCTGCACACACGGCTGCAGGCAGTAGCACCATCTGAGAGCCTGCAGATTACTTTATGCATTGACATGTTACCCCTTACAACATTTCCTCAGAACAAGAGACCCATTTTATGGTGAAGGAGGGGGCAACAATGGGACTGGTCTTACCATGCATCCCAAATCCAGATGCAGCTGACCTGATAATATAGAGGAAAAGCCTCATGAAACTCAGTTAACGAAAAACTAGGGGACACTTGGCAACGTTGTGGTACAGTCCTTTAGGTTATAACGTTCTTTGAACTAATGACCAATACAGGGCAGTAATACCCAATAGCTAGAAAGAATGCATCTAGGAACCAAGGGACGCAGAAGTGGCACCTTTCACTATTACATCCAGTGACCCCCTTGAGGAATTTGTGCTTTTTGTTCCTAAGACTTTGGACTTTGTTATGTGAGAGGTTCTGATTTCCAAGGAGCTAACTCTGCCAGTAAGGTTCCACTGATCTGAAAACTGTGACTGTACCTAACTGCACTGGCCATGTGAGGCCAGTTGGCAAAGAAAGGAGTTAAAGTATAGCAGTTCTAACTACCTCAAGGAGCCTGGATGACAACTCCTGGATTGCAGGGTTTACTGAGATAGCTCCTAGTACTTCTGTGCCTGGCAAAGCAATAACTTTTTAATGATAGCAATTCAACTCAATAAGGTCAGTTCAACTTAAGAGCTTCAGACCCTCTCCCAAGTAGGCAACCAATCAGACAACCAATCTAGATAAAGCAGCTGAAGTGTTGGACACAAGTGAGGGAAGTCTAGAATGGGTGGTGGAGAAGGGAGATGATGAATATCAATTATAGCCTTTTGAGCTCAGCGTGTCAGCATTTTGAAAAACCCTAACTTAACTCTGGTGCCGTGTCACATATAGAAATTTTTTGATATTTGCAACCATAGTAAAACAAAGATATTTTTGATATTTATTTTATATATTTAAATGCCATTTAACAACGAAAAATCATCCAAAAAAAATGAGTTTGCATGTCACCTCTGGCATGCATGTCATAGGTTCGCCATCACTGCCTTAGGACCAGCCATAGTAGCTTGAATCAAGCTACAGTCAGTTGATTCATTGACCATCTTCCCTTTAGGTCTTCTAGGAGATTGCAACTGGCCACAGACTTGCAGAGAACTTCATAACTGAATGGATTTTTACCCCCTCTTTTGGAAAAGAGGTAAGGGTGTTTTATTCTTTTTTTTTTTTTTAAAGCAAAAGAATGGCGGCTCCATATTCTAATACAGGACCCATATATAATGGGAGGGGCAGTGATCTGTCTTTACGGGAATCAACATATATACCATATATGGGCTTGCTTTAATCGTCCACTGGGCTTCAACTAGCACCACCATCTAAGGGTTTACAGAATGTCTCATCCATTGACTTGTTATATCATACAGCTTTTCTGATTGGTAAAAAGGTAGATTGCATTGGGCATATTTTTATGCCTTTTCAGATTTCCTTGGCCTTGACTGCTCCACACAGTTCTACTTCCTAGGCTTTTCTCTTTGGTTGCTGTTGTATAGCCAGGCTGGCCAGTGGATAAATATATTCTCTGGCTCTTCCTATTACTTCCAGACTTGGGTGAAATACCATATCATAGGATGTGAAACCTGGCTTGTGAATGGCCACCAAAGAGTCCCAGAAGCATCATGATTAACTCCCTATGGGGGAACCAATGAGAAGCATGAAATGGAAGTCTTATGAGAATAAATTCCCTCACCTGCCCCATTGTTGTATGTACAGTTTCTCCATACAAGCTGTCAATGGTCAAGTACCCATATCTTCCAAGCAAACTACTTTGTCCCTTTAAGACTCAGTTAAAGCTGAGGCCAGAGTAGAAACCCATCACCTTGCATTGCTTCCCAGCTTTCCTGGCCTCACTTCTCTTTTTTCTCACTCATCCTGTTGTAAGTTAACACCCCTCAAATGAACCATCAGCAGGGAATCCTTGCTTCAGGCTCTGCTTTTAGGGCAGAAGTTCTCAAATTGCATATCACTTAGCTGATTCAATGGCTCTGGAGTAAAGCCTAAGAGTCCACATTTCTAACAAGCTCCCAATGAGGCTGCTAGTTGAGGACCACACTCTGAGAGAACCAAGTTCTATGGGTTAAGACATAGCCTTAAGAAAAAAATGTTGAAGAATATTCTAGGTGAGTTACCTGTGAAAAACAAATTGAAAAAAATTAGTGGAAAATATGGGCAAATTACCCAGGATAGGGAAGGTTTATCAGGCCAGAATTCTTCATAATAAGCACCAAAGCTGACTCTTGTTACAAGTAGAAAAAACATTTATTAAAGGGATGCTGAGTAGCTTGCAGAATTGTTGGAAGGACTAGAGAACCAGACTTGAGGCTAAGTGTCCAAGGTCAACATGCAAAATCATGTTGCAGAACTGGACTTGATGAGGAATTTCTGCCACCACCTTTAATATTAGATCCTACAATTTGCCAACTTGACTTTACTGGAGTGGATCTTGCTGGCCCCTTCAATGCCATTTCTGTGTAGGACTCAACCTAACACCCCCAGTGAATCTTCCAATCCAGACTGTTTAGCCATCACCCACTCTCACCAGCAAAATGGATGTTTAGTGCTGGGCGGGTTTCCTCCCCCTGTTTTGTTGTGAATCAACATATCACATTGATTGAATATGATGAATATACTGGTGAAGCCCAGGTCACTTGTGTGTGCCCTACTTGTAAAGGAAGTTGAAGAGGGAATTGTCTAGATTTTATCTTAGATTTATCTTAGAAAAAAAGATTCACATGGTGGAAAATTCCACAGACATAAGAAGAGTATTCAAAAGATGCTACACAGTTCCTAAACTATTTTAGATATCTGATAGGATTAAGCAAATGAGTAAACGTATCACTAGTGTTGGGAGACAGTGTTCTCACTATGGAAGCAGGAACATAGAATATGGAATCAGAGAAGCAAAAAAGAACCATGTAGGATGAATTGGAATTATAGGTATTGATGTGAACTATTATTTCTAAAATATGTGTATATGTATATAAAGATGTACACATATATGCATGTGTATATGTATTATATGTTTACATTTACTAGCACCATCTGCTGAAAGGGTCAAGAAGCAAAGATGCCCCTGTAGCAATGAGCACACTGAGAGCTCATACCTTGCTGTCTAAATACCATTCCCCATCAAAAGGAACCAAAGCTCTTTGATGAAATGGTCAGTTCCATGGCTGGTGCAGGGTAAATACAAGAGGACCCCAGTATATCTTGTTAGGTCAGAAAGTAATTGCTTTAAAAAAGGATGGAGACATTTCACAAGGACAAAGAGTCAATTAGAAGGGGCTCCCTCTGGTCAAATCTGGGACAATTTGAGCACAAAATAATTAACCACAGAATGAAGTGCAAGCCATTGGGGAAAAAATAGGAATCTATGAGTCCATATTGATTATAAATAGACAAATTAGAGAAGAAGGGGAGACTCTTGCTTACAATAGAATATGAATATAGAAAGTGCTAGAGTTAGAAAATTATTTTGCAACCATAATAGTAAAATTATTTCAGTCAAGAGTAAAAAATGGATACTAAATCTCAGGGAACATGCTATCTGGATGGTCTCAAAGTGTCTTCCTACACATTTCTTAATAGTTTCAAGGGGAAAAAAATACTAACTTTTCAGTGGAGTAATTACACAACACCTTGACCAGGTAATCAAAATTAACATCACCAATGATGGGCAAATGGACATCATGAGTCTCCATATGTAATGCCCTGAGGACACAACATCCCCTCTGCACTACTCTGTCTGAGAATCCATAACATGAATCTAGCCATGAAGAAACATCAGGCCAAAATAAGGAAAGTTCTGCTTTAAAGACTGTCCATATAATCGATGACAAAGAAAATCTGTGGAAATGTTCCAGAGTAAAGACTAAAGCGACATGACAATTAAATATGATGCCTGATCATAAGTTAGATTTGATCTGCAGGATAAAGAGTGGTAACAAGTTTACAGTACAGTAGATGAATCCGGGGAAAGGGTATATGGGCATTCTTCTAACTACTCTTATTCTTGCCACTTTTCTATAAGTTTAAAATTATTTCCAAGTAAAAAGTTATAGAAAAAGATGGGGGACTAAATAACCCCTGAAACCATAATAAATGTCTACTCTAATAACCTTGTGAGATAGGTATTATTATTTCCATTTTACAAAGGAAGAAACAGGTTTGAAAAGGTTAGGTAACTTGCATAAGATGGTACAATTAGTAAGTGTCAGAACTGGGAATTAAGCCTAGACTTTAGAGTCTTGTAATGCAGGTCTTTTCTTTTCCCTTTTTTTTTTCTTTTGCTGTAATAGCAGAAAGAACGTGGATTTAAATGGTAATCAGAGACAATTCCCAGACATCTTTATGATCAAAAAGTTTTACTGTCCTAATGATTCAAACTTTTACCCTCCAGGGAAGTCTCTTGAATTTCGGGCTCATTTGATTTTCCCTTGGAGAGGGGATGCCAGGGAAGGGGGAGCATGGAGGAGAATTAGAAACAAAATGGCCAAGACCAGGGAAAGGGCCACAGTAGGGCCTGAATAACCCACTGGCAAGAGCAGGGCCCTGGACTATGTCGTTCCCGCCAGCGTTAGGGTGCTAAGGTACTTTGAGGACATTTGGCGAGAGGGAGCAGAAATTTAAGACTTTCTTGGATTCCAGCTACTTTCTGCCCAGAGAAGAGGATCACCTGCTGTAAAAATCACTGTCTTCTCTTACAATGGCAGCCTTCAGGGAGAAACCTCAGATCTCTCTACTTGACAGTGCAGTTGGAGGCTCTGTGCCTGCCCCTTCCTTCCTAGGAAAGCAACTGTCTTAGTCATTCGGGGCTACTGTAACAAAAATAGCATAGTCTGCATGGCTTATATACAACAAACATGTATTTCTCACAGTTCGGGAGTCTGGGACACCCAAGTTCAAGGCACTGGCAGATTCAGTGTTTAGAGAGGGATGGCCTTCTAGTTCATAGATGGCTATCGTTTCGCCATGTCTTCCCATGGCGAAAGGGACAAAGGAGCTCTCTCAGGCATTTTATATAAAGGTACTAATCTTATTCCGGAGGGATCTACTCTCATGACCTAAGCACTTCCCAGGGCCCCACCTCCTACTATCATCACATTGGGGTTTAGGATTTAACATATGAATTCTGGAGGGACACACACATACAGCGACCATCATGTGAAGACTTGGATGTGGCCTTTGTGGGGCTTTCCTGAAATTCAGAGAGGCGCAATTGCCCAGATGCCTTGAGACCACTGGGGTTATATGAAGAAGTTTCCCTTTGGGCTCTCTGGCTCTTTAGGAAGGTAAAAATGAAGCACGTTTAACAGGATCGCATCTGTGTCCCAAAAGAAAATGGGACACACCGCCCCAGGCTGCCCAATCTGATGAGTGGGGCCTACAGCAGTTGCTGTGGAGGCACATGACTGGGATCGTATGGGAGCTACACTGGGGTGTTTCTGAAGGTTCAGAAACCCTTGTGATGTGAGGGGACCTCCGCCTGCTAATCTTCACTCTGCGTGTCACATCCTGGGTGAGGCAGGTAGCCACTTCTGGGTGTGTGATGAATGCCGCAGGACCTGTGTGATGAATATTCACAGAAAGTGGAGTTGGAAATCTTCCCTGAGCATGCCAGGGTACTGAGCAGATTTTGGGGGGTTCAGATCTCTCTACTGTCCCCTGAAAACTATGGACAGATTGGTTCCTCTTACGTCAATCGGGTCAAGCAGGTAACAGGTGGAACTCTCAAAATTTTTAAGTGATAGACGTATGTGTTTGACAGAGGCATAGTTAGGAGGAAGGGAACTGTCAAGGATGGCAAGGAACTCTTAGGGTTAGGGTTAGGGTTAGAGTCAGGGCTAGGGCTAGGGCTAGGGTTAGGGCAAGGGCACAAGGTTAGGGTTAGGGTTAGGGCACAAGGTTAGGATTAGGGCTAGGGCTAGCGTTAGGGTTAGGACTAGGGCTAGGGTTAGAGTTAGGGCTAGGGGTAGGGTAGGGTTAGGTTTACGGCTGGGTTAGGATTAGGGGTATGGTTAGGTTTAGTGTTAGCATTAAGGCACAAGAAGCATAGCCTCTCCGAGGAGATCAGAGATGGTCCGGCATGGGAGGTGCTGATGAAGAGGGTGAAGGCTGCAGTTGTTTTGAGAGGGCACAGGACTG